CACCACACTATACCCCACACTGCACACCACACACACACATATACCCCACACCGCACACCACACACACACACTATACCCCACGCCACACACCACACACACACCACACTACCCCACACCACAGATCACACACGTGCACACACACTATACCCCATACCGTCCCTGCAGCCAGTGCGCACACGGAGCGGGGGCTGCAGTATCACCCAGCCTCGCCCATCCCTAGAGCTCATGACCCCGGTGTTCTGACCCGGTGAGTTGGATGGAGTCCAGGCCACATTGCTGAGCTGCCCGTGTGTGTGATTTTTGGAAGCCGTTCGGTGAGTTAATTATGTAGGGCGGGTTCCCCAGCACCTCCAGGGACCACCAGGCGCACCCTGAGACCCGGTGCCCAGGTCCACAGGCAGCGGAGGCCACTCTGGCCTGGGGCTCTGCAAAGCTGCCGGCGGCATCTAGTGCACGTTGGCCTAAACCCTAAACCCCGATTAAACATTTTTCTAAACTAAAAAGTGCGAACAGCCTAGCTGAGGGGCAAGGGCACACTCCCCACCTCTCTTCAGCACCCAAGGCTACGTCTCCCTTTCGGGGTGAGCTTTTCTCCCGACGCACCTGGAGTACAGGTAGGCCATGAGCCCCAGCGGCGTGCCGGCCTGCAGGATTCGGGCCTTCTGCCGGCCGCCCGGGTGCTTGTTGACGTTGTAGAAGATGAGTGAGGAGGACTCGTCCAGGGGGCTGAAGTCCAGCGTGTCGCAGGGCGCGGCCGCGATGTTCACGATCACCGGGAGGGCGCAGGGCTCCAGGCCCCAGCGCTCTGCGTATAGGACCTGCCGGGCGGGACACAGGCACTCGGTCGCTCCGCCCCTCGCCCCGGGGCTTCCTGCCGTTGGACCCTCACATCAGGGCCCCTTTTATGATTTTTCACACGGACAGATCTGCCGCGTCCGACAGCGGGAGGCCCGGAGGCCCGTCTGAAGCTGCTGTCGCCCGGAGCAGAGTGGGGTCCGGAGCCCACTTGCCTGCAGATACTTCTTGACCAAGCTGAGGAACTGCACCCTGGATTTCATTTCTTCCAGCTGCCCTTTCAGCTTGGACAGCATGGTCTTGACGTCGGACCCTGTGGGCACAGCAGAGTGGGCGGGGGCCGGGCTGCCTGCGGCCGGGGTCTGGGACCTGGGCCCACGCAGGCTTTACCTTTGTTCCTCTTTTCCTTCTGTAAGAGTTTCTGGTAGAACTTGAGGGTCTTGCGGTAGTTTCTTTTCTCCATCATGAGCTGCTGTTCCAGCTCCTGGGGACAAAACACAGCGCCTAAGCCCCAGGCAGCCCCAACACACGTCAGCCACATCCAGGGCCAGGCCCTACCCCACTGGGGCCTCCCTGGCCTTGGAGACCAGCTGCAGGGTAGGGTCCCATGGAGACAGAGGCCCACCCAGCCAGCGAGGCCGGCCCCAGCCTGGGCAGTGTGTTCTGCGGGACCCTCGGCAGTCCCCAGGCTCACAGGGCAGTGCCCAGTTGGGGCCGGCTGCCCCCCGTGTCCCTCACTCACAGGCCCTTGTGGGGGATGCTCAGGGGACTGCCGTGTGACCACCAGCTTGGGCCCTCAGGGGAACCAGACCCCACCCAAATCAGCACCAGGCCCTCCTGCCCAAGCAGGCAGGGCGGTGCCACCTCTGGACACCCAAGTGCATGTTGCGGGCTGGGTTGGGGGCGGGGGGCGGCAGTATGACCTCCTCAGCGTGCATCGCGTGTGTCTTCAGGTGTCTGCCTTTTTACTTTTTAATTTAACTTAATTTTTTTTTATTTTTTTGAGACACAGTCTCGCTCTGTCGCCCAGGCTGGAGTGCAGTGGTGTGATCTCGGCTCACTGCAAGCTCTGCCTCCCGGGTTCATGCCATTCTCCTGTCTCAGCCTCCCGATTAGCTGGGACTTACAGGCGCCCGCCACCACGCCCGGCTAATTTTTTTTTGTATTTTTTAGTAGAGACAGGGTTTCACTGTGTTAGCCAGGACGGTCTCGATCTCCTGACTTCGTGATCCGGAGACGGAGTTTTTCTCTTGTTGCCCAGGTTGGAGTGCAATGGTGCGATCTCAGTTCACTGAAACCTCTGTCTCCCAGGTTCAATTGATTCTCCTGCCTCAGCCTCCCGAGTAGCGGGGATTACAGGCACCCATCACCACGCCTGGCTAATTTTGTATTTTCAGTAGAGATGAGGTTTCTCCACGTCAGGATGATCTCAAACTCCCGACCTCAGGTGATCCACCCGCCTCGGCGCCCCAGAGTGCCGGGATTACAGGCGTGAGCCACCGCACCCAGCCGTTTTTAATTTTTATTGACTTTTTAATTTAAATTTTTTTTTTTTTTTTTTGAGACGAGGTCTTGCTCTGTCACTCAGGCTGGAGTACAGTGGCCTGATTCGCTCTGTTGCCCAGGTGGGAGTGCAACCTCCAACTCCCTGGGTTCAAGCAATTCTCCCATCTCAGCCTCCCAAAGTGCTGGGATTACAGGCATGAGCCACTGCACCAGCCTTGCCTTTCTTTTAAACTTAAGCCCAACGACACGGATTCCAGCTGTCCTGTGCACACGAGCCCCTGAAAACCTCCTCCGGGAACCCACTGGCTGCGCACTGCGGTGTGTTGAGCAGTGGCCGCAGGGTTTGCCCCGGCCCTTGGCTGCTCTGTAGTGTGAGCGTGAGCGTGAGCGTGTGAGTGTGAGCGTGAGCGTGTGAGTGTGAGTGTGAGCGCACGCCTGGGGTGCTTCTCCTGAACGTGCCCAGAGTCTGAGTTATTGCCTAGAAGGTGGAGCCGGGGACCTCATCCCCAGGGCTGTCTCCGGGAGGGAAGCAGCACTGAGGCCAGGCGACAGGTCCTGACTGCAGGAGCCGGGGGCAAGGGCTGCCGGGCTCTGCTTCACGCACAGACACCAGCTGGGGCTGAGCCTCCTGGGACGGGACTACATTCAGGGAGAGGGCGCCCCGTTGTCCCAGGATGCCTCCCACGCCTGGCCAGGCAGCCCCTCATCTGAGCACTCCTGTCTTGCGGGACAGGCACACGGGTGTAGAGGCTGGAGGAGGGGTGCCCTGAGGATGTGCTGCCAGGTCAGTGACCCCGAGACTGCCCTTCCCTCCAGGGGCACAGAGGCAGATACAGCCTCCTCCTGCACCCATGGGGCTTGGCCCATTACTGAGGAGGGTGGTGATTCTGGTGGTGGGGGGTCTGGGAAGCCTTGGGGGTCCATGGGAACTGGGCCTTGAGCAGCAGGTCTTCGGGGGGACTGTGAGGTGCCACGGGGCAGGGGCACCTGGCTGGGGGCAGAGGCGAGAGACGCGGCAGCCCTTGGCCCACAGCCTCCTGTGAGGAGTTCAGGAGGCGACCGCCCCGAGGGGCTCATCCGCGAACCCATCCACCAGGCTTCCTTTTGTGACATGCAGTTGGCTGAGATCCACCCCCTCCGCCTCGTCAGCCGCCAGTGACCGCTCTGTTGATAGTGTTAATTTTTGAATGTTTTTTGCAAAATAAAAAAATGCAGGCAACATTTCTGTGTAACTACTTGAGTCCGCTCTATCTGGCGGTTCATGGAGACGGGGTCCCTGTGCTGTCTTCTCCCGTGCACGGGTTCAGCGACGGCAGTGGGGGTGCCACGGAGGGCCAGGCTCCCGGCTACGGCGGTGTGGGCCGTGGTCCCAGCTGCGTAAAGACCAGGCCCTCTGCAGGACCTCGGCCACTAAGCCAGGTTCCCCAAGCCCTCTGGATCCTGCTGCCGCCCAGCCAAGTGCAACCCCGCCTCCCACACTGGGATGCAGGCTGCCTGTGGCTGCCTAAAGTGCAGTGAAATTAAAGTATCAGGTCCTCGGTCACGTGAGCCATGTTTCCAGAGCTCAGTAGCCACACATGGCTGTTGGCTACCCTGTGGACAGCATCTAGAACATGCCATCATCAAGGAAGGGACCTGCTGGGCAGGGCAGGTCAAGGTTGGTAAACGCAGGTATCCCCACGGAGCTGTGTTCCGCTGCCGGGGCACCTGGTCCTGGCTTCTGAGGATGGTGGTGGCCACGTCCCCCATGGCCTGCAGCACAGGGCCTTCGTCCGGGCCCCGGAGGTCACCCGCGCCAGGCTCCATCCGGCCCCCTCACCCCCGTCCATTTGCAGAGAGGCTGATGTCGAGAAAATCTCCCGGGAAAGGTCTGTGTACCCCGCGGCGTCCGAGAACCCGGAGGTGGGTGCCTGCGAGCCCGGATGCCCACCCGGCTGGAGTGCAGCTCACGCAGACTCGTCTCGGGGCGGCACCTCCACAGCCTCCGTTCACAGTCAGACTCGACGTCCGTTAGGGGCGTCCCTCATGTGGGAACCACAGGCAGACTCCTTGAGAAGGACGGTCTTGACTGATTTTAATAAATCTACGGGAACTAAGGTCTACATCACACACAGGGCGGTGAGGAGGGAAACACGAGGCCAGGCTTCACCAGTGCAGACAGATGGGGGAGGAACCCACACCAGTGCTGTTCACCCCGACTCTGGGAGACACGGATGCCGGTTCCACAGCCCCAGGGCACACGGCTGGCGCTGGCAGGTGGGGGTCAGCGCTGAAAGGAGGAAACGCCCACCCACCAGCTGCTCCGGCCGCCCCAGCGAATGGCCCTGGCTGCACTGTGTGCGTTCCGGGCTGCAGACGTGAAAATCTGTCTCCAGCTTGTTTTTGCCCTTGCTGTCTTTCTGAGCCTTCTGTTTTGAAACAGACACAGTAGTTCCTCCAAGAGAAACGTGAGGCTGTGGCCACGGGCTGGACGCTGTGCATTTGGGGGCCGAGTCCTCCTCAGGACACCATGCACTTGGGGCCGAGTCCTCCCTGCTGGACACTGGGCTTTCAGGGTTCTGAGTGCTCCTCAGGACGCTGGGCATTTGGGGGCCGAGTGCTCCCTGCAGGACGCTGGGCATTTGGGGGCCGAGTGCTCCCTGCTGGACTCCGTGAGTTTTGGGGCCAAGTGCTCCCTGGGGGACGCCGTGCGTTTGGGGCCAGGTCGTTTGGTGTCTGCTGTGCAGGCCGCCCTTTCTCTTCCCAGCCCCAGGGGAGGCCTGTGTCCTCGAAGCCCCCGCAGGCCCTGTGTGGGGCGTCCGAGGTGCAGAGGCTGTAGCACCATGTGGGTCTTTCACGTGGCCCAGAAGCTGAATAAAGTGAACGCTTCACAGAACTTAACCCCTGTCCCCTCACCTGCCCTGAAGAGACGCCGGCTCATGTTCTGGACTGAGTCATAGAGTGGAGGCTGGGAGGCGGCCGGAGAGGAGCAAGGAGGAGCCCCAGGAAGGGCTCTGATGCCCAGAGGCTGGGGGAGGCTTCCCACTGCGGCTTGGGGGTCGAGGCTGATGGTGGTGGGAGAGGTTCCTGATGGCCGCTGGGCCCCTCCTGTCACCTACCCTGGAGTCCTGGGGCTCTGGGTCTCCGGCCCTGCCTTGAGTCCAGAGCTCTGCGGGCCTCTCCTGCACCCAGGACTCCCCGGTCTAAGACCTCCCTGCTGGCCAGGGAGGAGTTGCAGCTGCTTCTGACCCAGGATGGCACTGCTGGCCAGAAAGCCCAGGCCAGTGTGCGGTGACCAGGCCCAGCCTGGACTTGCTGGGCAGGCGTTTCTGGTGTTTTCTTTCACCGCAGAGTGAGGCTGCCCAAGGGCCCGGAGACGGTGCCTGTCCCATGGGAGACACGGCCAAACGCAACCGGGTCACGAGCATGGAGGGGCCTCCTGGGAACCTGTCGCCCCGGCAACCATGAGAGAAAAGCCCTTCCGTGCCCCCAGACCTGGAGCCACCAGGAGCACCCGTGTAGACGAGCCTGTCCCGACGTGGAGCTCAGCCCGGGGAGGGGGCCCTGACCATCTTGACGGCCACGGGGTGGGGGCACCAGGACCAGTGTCATCCTGGTTGGGGCTCTGGGTACACGGTGCCATCCGTCACCTGCAGTGACTGGGAAGCCCTGCTGGAAGGAGGCCCCTGCACCACCCTGCAGTGCCGAGGCCTGGGACTCACCGGGCTCTGGGTGTCGGGCAGGGCCCCGTCCACCTGCTGCCGCCCCAGGTCCTTCACATAGTTGTGGACGTCGGCCCCGAAGCAGTCGGCCTCGTAGAAGGCGCTGCACCAGCCGGGGCTGCAGCTCTGGAATCCGGCTGGGCCAGGGGACACGGCCGGGCCGCCCCCCTTGGACCTGGCCAGTCGGGTCACCACCTCCGCGTCCGAGGCCCCGCCAGCTGGCCGTCTGTCCTCGCCAACCTCATGCTGCTGCGCTCTCTCGGCTTTTACGGACCTCTGAGGCCGAAACCCCACCTCAAAGTTTCCCCGGGAGAGTGCCTCCGAGTCCACATCCGACACCAAGGTCCTGCTGCTGGTCCTGGCCATGGCTGGCTTCTCTTTTCCTTGAAAGAAAGAGACACGGGTTACGTGGATAGCGGCTCCTGTGGGCGGAGCCTGGGCAGGCTTTACTGGGAGGCTGGTGGTGCCTGTGTGCCCAACGCCCTTCTCTCTTGCACCCACCACGGGCGCCCCCGAGGCACTGCCGCCTCCCAGTGCCGGGGAGATGCTGGGACCCTGAACTGCCGCATGGCGCCGGATTACAGCGCGAGGCCTCTCCCCAGATGGAGCCCCTCTCTGGGCCCTCACTGGTTCCAAACTTACTCGCCCTGGGGTGGGGCCGGGCCCTGTCCTCGCTGGCTCCACTATCAGCACTGTGTCCCTCTGCCCCCTCACGCTCTGCTCTTTTCTTCTGGAATTTAAAAAGTGGTCCCCAGCTCTGTCCCTGGCTTTCCTGCCACCCAGGAGTGCACAGGCCTCATGCCCCAGTCTGCCTGCTTGGTCTCCGACTTGTTGGAATAGGAACTGGGTCCATCACCAAACCTGGCCACGACCATGGACAGCCTGAGGGTGACCACCGCCACCACCTTGTCCCTAACACCGAGCCTGCTGGCCGGACACTGGGACTTCCCCAGCCCGGCATTCATGTGCCTTGGGAGCCCGGGGCTAACGAGCCAGTAGCCCAGCCCCAGGGTCTTTCGGCAGCCGCTTCTGCCTTGTTACCAAAGCCCCAGGCTCACAGGCCTGCCTCTGCTTGGAGAGGGGATCCCGCCTGGCTCCTGGCGGCTCCCACTGTCCCAGTGACTGGTGACAGAGGACCCCTCACCTCCAAGGCCCCGGGTTCCTGCTCGCCCCCAGGAGAGGACGGCCTTTGGCTGGGGCACCCCTGGGGCAAAGGCAGTGCCGCCAGAGCCGCGCAGTCCGAGGCCGCCAGGACCCCGGGGTGCCCCCTGAACTGTAGAGCACAGAGGAGGCTGCAGAGCTCCTGCCACGGGACCTGCCCAGCACTTACCCAGGGGGTGCAGCGAGGGTCTCCTGCTGGACGGGGAGCGGGGGCTCCGGCTACTCTCGAGCTGTGACTCAGCGTCCTCAACCGTGCTGACAGCAAGAATGCAGGTCAGGTGGCCGTCCCCACGTCTCCACCCCTGCCCACTGGGAGGAGGCTTCAGTCTCCACAGGGCCAGGCCCACAGGCCCACACGGCCATGCGGAGCCCTCACTAGAGGCAGCAGGAGCTCACCCTCCCGGTCACTAAGGGGGTGGCAGGAGCCAATGGGGTCCCTGGATCATTCACTGCTTGGGGTCCCTGGGGGGCTCTGGAGCAGTCTCTCAGGGCTGCGGGCCGGGGAGGCTGGGGCTGGGGTGGGTGCACTTGTTCACAGCTGTGAGTTTACGCCACACACAGGCGCAGGAGCTGCCCAGGCTGCCAGCACTGCATGGAGCTGTGAGCAAGGCAATGTGGGGTGGCCGCTGCCCCACCGAACACGGCTCGGTGCCGGGCCCTGCGGGGTCTGGGGCCGCCTGTTTGGGGGTCTCCTCTCTTCCTTGGGGCCCTCACACTGGTCCCTCTGAGCAGGGAGCCCTGTGGCCACCACTGCCCAGGCCCCCTGCAGCCTCCCGGAGAGCCCCTGCCTCATATTCCCTGCAAGCCCTTTCTTCCTCCAGAAGAAACTCAGGCCCGACGGGAAAGCTGTGGGTCGGCGTCAGGCCCGGGAGGGGCTGTGGGTTGGCGTCAGGCCCACGAGGCTGTGGGTCAGCGTCAGGCCCAGGAGGGGCTGCTGGGACGCCCCCCCAGCTCCACCAAGGGTGGCCCCCTGGAGACGGCAGCCAGACAGAAGCCGAGGGTTGGGAGGGGAAGGCTGGGCCGCGTCGGGGCAGTAGAGCCCGAGCACAGTGGGTGTCCAGGAGGGGCGGGGATGCAGGGCCGACCTGGGCACCCACCTTGGGGAGGGCAACGCCTGCCCGTTCACCACTCTAAAGAGGTTCTGCAGCAACTTCTCATCCCAGTACAGGTCGCAGAACTTCTCAGAAATGGCACCACAGAAAGTGGCAAAGGTGAGATCTTTCAAGGCGAAGATGTACTCCCCTGGTTTTGCAAAACGATGGAGACAAGTGAGATGGTGGCAAGGCTGCTTGTCTGGATTCCTCGTGGCTGATCTCGGCTGCGGGGCTGGGGGGCGGGCGTGGGGCGGCCTTGAGTCCCCTGTGGGGCTCTCCCGGGCCCAGGCCTCCTCTGGGGCATCTGCAGCCCCCACGTACCCATGATCAGAGCCTCCAGCCCATTGTCCAGGTAGCCATCGAAGGCAAATTCCTCCTGGATGAGGCGCGTGGCCTCCTGCAGCGACGGGCAGGCCGTCCTCCCTGGGAGTGGCGAGGCGTCCACGCCGGGCAGACAGGGCCTCCGGTCTGCGGGCCGTGGCCTCTCTGTGACACTGTCTGGGCTCTGGTCATCAC